AGCAAGCCCGACGGGGCCGTAGGACACGGTAGAACCGTGGAAGAGTGCGCAAGGACTGGGCCCCCAGAGGGGTCAGCCAGGGAGACTGCGACAGGCCGACTGAGCAGCGTGAGTGTGGTGCTGTCGCGAAAGAAAGAGCGCGAAGCACCAGAGTCAAGTGTGAAAGTGTGCAAGGCCTCAGTAGGTGCAGTACCAGAGAGAGCAGACTCACCAGCACCTGGAGCAGCAGACTCACCAGTACCTGGAGCAGCAGCCTCAATGCCCGGGTCGGGCGGAACACACAGGTAACAGTCACCCTCAGCACTATCAGTCACAGCATACATGGCAGCAAGGATAGCATCGAAATCAAGATCAAAGATAGCAACATTCTGCTTAAGCAGATCACCCCAGCGAGGGAGCTCAACAGCGTCAGGAAACTGGGCACGCCAGGCGTCAGTCAGGCGACCGAAGCAGCGCTGCGCAGTGTGTGGCAGCCCGCACGTCTCCCCACGACGCCCGCCGGTGCGAAGAACGTAAGTGCAGGGACCCACACCCCCAGACCTCCCACGCCCAGCGTACCACTCACGAAGCTGCTGGGCCGACGGGGTCTCACGGGAACGCGGCTGCTGCTGGCGCTGGCTACCACCAAAGCCTCCACGCTGCGCGGCGGCACCTCGACCAGCACCACCGCCGCCGCCACCTCCACCACCGCTGCCGCTGCCTCCACCGCCCCCTCCGCTGCCTCCACCACCTCCACCGCCGCCACTGAAGCCCCCACTCCCGCCACCACCCCCACCTCCACCGCCACCCCCTCCGCCTCCTCCACCGCCTCCACCGCCGCCCCCACCGTCCCCTCCACCACCCTTGCTCCCCTTGCCCTTGCTGTTGCGGTGCCTCCCACTAGGAGCAGACGCAGCCCCGACCTCCTCAGTGCCAACGAGGTCGACAGCAGCAGCAGAAGCAACAGAGGGGAGAAGGGGGACAGGGGAACACCCCTCAAAGAAAGGGGCGACGGTCGCCGCGAGAAGCACCTACAGCTAAGATACTCTTCTCAGCCGCAGTGAGGCGCTCCTCTAGCAGGTCGACAGTGAGCTCGGTGGGGCAAACGGAGAGAAAGTGGTCCCTGAGTGAAGCAAGGGAGTCAGGGAGGCGGGTGACTAGGTAGTAAAGGGTGATGTACATGGGGGGGGGGGTTCTTGGCACAGAACTCAGTGGGAAGCGCAGCGCGGTAGCGGGCGTCACTAGTGCGGAGGTGAGTAATGAGGTCAGCGACTGTGGCAAAGGTGGCAAGGTCAGGGAAAGGGTACGGCAGCATGAGGCGGCTGAGGGCAGCAGTGGCGGGGGAGGAGTAGCGCGCTACGACAGCGTCGTACAAAGACTTAGCAGTCTTGTACAGGCCAAAATGCACGCGCTCAGCAGACGGCAGGTGACTACGAACAGCAAGGCGAGCAACAGCGTCACGAGTGGTCCACTGCAAGCGAACCGTACTATCAGCAGTGGCAGCAGGTGCAGTAGAGACACCGGACGTGTGATCGAAAAGGGATACGCCATCCCTAGAGTCACACTGAAGAAAGAGCTGCAGGTCGTCAACCCACACGTCAAAGTCAACTGCACGCCCCTCAGCATCAAAGGTGAGAACAGTAGGGCTAGCCATAGCAGCAGTAGCAGCAGTAGCAGCAGAAGCAGTGCAAGCAGTAGGGCAGCGCGGCTCGGTAGTGCGGCGCGGCTCGGCTGGGCGGCGCGGCTCGGTAGGGCGGCGCGGCTCGGCATGTCAGAATATGTTATATTTGTCTAGCCTGCAGTGGGGTACTCAATAGTGAGTACAGCCCAATCTAGGGTTTCCTATATGTACTCAACTGCTTGCTAGTGCAAACCCTCTTCCTCTCTTTTCATTCATTCTTGTTTCTTCACATGGTATCAGAGCAGGTTCCCTACTGGGACCGATCCTTCCCAAGGGCCCACCACTAAACTTATTTTTCCTAACCTGCCCGAAGCGCCCTTCGCGCTCGGCCTGCCCTACCCTTTCGCGGCCCCTTAGCGGCCTGCCCTGCCCCTTAGCGGCCCCTTCGCGGCCCCTACCCGGCCCCTACGCGGCCCCTTCGCGGCCCCTTAGCGGCCCCTTCGCGGCCCCCCCTTCGCGACCCCGTCGCGGCCCCGCAGCGGCCCCGTCACTGCCCAGTCGCGGCCCCGCCCCGGCCCTGCCCCGTCACCTGTCGCGGCCCTGTCGCGGCCCCGTCGCGACCCCGTCGCGGCCTTGCCCCGGCCCTGCCCCGTAGCCTGTCGCGGCCCCGTCGCGGCCCCGCCCCGGCCCTGCCCCGTCGCCTGTCGCGGCCCCGTCGCGGCCCCGTCGCGGCCCCGCCCCGGCCCTGCCCCGTCGCCTGTCGTGGCCCCGTCGCGGCCCCGTAGCGGCCCTGCCCCGCCCCTGCCCCGTCGCCTGTCGCGGCCCCGTCGCGGCCCCGTCGAGGCCCCGCCCCGGCCATGCCCCGTCACCTGTCGCGGCGCACCGGGGACCCGCGCACCGCCCCCCCCTCTTTTCCCGTCGCCCATCGCGACTCCCTGGGGGGCCGGCGACCTGGGGGGGGGGGCCGCGCGTCGCCCCTTCTGCCGCCTGTTCTGGCGCCCTGGGAGGCCGCGCGTCGGCCCCTGTAACCCCCCCCCCCCCCCCCGTAACCTCCCTACCCGCCATCCCGCCCTGCCCTGTGTTAGGGTTTGGGGGTGGCGAGTAGGGGGTGGCGGGTGTGTGGACTCCCCTGCTCCTCCTCCTGCTCTGTCTCCCACTGCTGCAGCTACCGCTGAGGGGGGTGGATGTGTGGGAGCCAAAGGAGTGGTGCTAGGGGGTGGGGTGTGAGTGAACCTAGGGTGCAGCAGGGGGTGTGTGAAAGGGGGGTGGGATAGTTTGGGGAGGTTGAAGGGGGGTGGCCGCCGTGAAGCCCGCAGCTCCAGTCGCCCGTGAGACCGTTGCGCCAGTCGCCCGTGAGCCCGTTGCGCCAGTCGCCCGTGAGCCAGTTGCTCCAGTCGCCCGTGAGTCCGTTGCTCCTGCCGCTCAGAGTTAGCCGCGGAGCCAATTACTCCAGTAGCCCGTGTGCCAGTTGCTCCAGTTGTCAGTGTGCCAGTTGCTCCAGTTGCCCGTGTGCCAGTTGCTCCAGTTGCGCCGTGTGCCAGCAGCTTCAGCTGCCGCCCACTACCTCCTCTCCTCTCATAGTCCCTCCTCCTCCACACTTGCCCTCTGTGATAGCCTCTAGCTTTACTTATTGCTGTGAACTATAAACTGCTGCTTCTTGTACTTGTGCTCAGATTGTGTGGTGACATTGTGATCCACCCTGAGCTTGTGTTTTGCTGTGCTTGTTGTGCTGATTACACCCCACTTTGGCTATGGGGGTGTGTCAGAATATGTTATATTTGTCTAGCCTGTAGTGGGGTACTCAATAGTGAGTACAGCCCAATCTAGGGTTTCCTATATGTACTCAACAGCTTGCTAGTGCAAACCCTCTTCCTCTCTTTTCATTCATTCTTGTTTCTTCACACGGCAGGGCGGCGCGGCTCAGTTCCTGCTGGCGGCGCGGCGCGGCAGCTGGCGGCGCGGCGCGGGTGCTTACCTGGGGCAGGGCGGGTGCAGGACAGGGCCGCAGCTGGCGGTTTAGGTCAGGGCCGCGACCGGGGCGGCAGCAGGGCAGGGCCGCGACAGGGGCGGCTGCAGGGCAGGGCCGCGACTGGGGCGGCAGCATGGCAGGGCCGCGACAGGGCGGCTGCAGGGCAGGGCCGCGACTGGGGCGGCAGCAGGGCAGGGCCGCGACTGGGGTGGCAGTAGGGCAGGGCCGCAACGGGCGACGAAGGCAGGGCCGCGACTGGGGCGGCAGCAGGGCAGGGCCGCGACAGGGCGGCTGCAGGGCAGGGCTGCTACGAGCGGCGAAGGCAGGGCCGCGACGAGCTGGGATGGGCCAGCGACGGGCGGCGACGGGCCGGCGACGGGCGGCAACGGGCCGGGACGGGCCGGCGACTGGCTGGGACGGGCCGGCGACGGGCCGGGACGGGCCGGGACGGGCCAGCGACGGGCGGCGAAAGGCAGGGCAGGGCCGCAGTGGGCGGCTAAGGCAGGGCCGCGACGAGTGGCGATGGGCCAGCGACGGGCGGCGACGAGCCGGGACGGGCCGGCACGGGCCAGCGACGGGCGGCGAAGGCAAGGCCGCGACGGGCCAGCAAAGGCAGGGCCTCGACGGGCCGTACTAGGGCAGGGCGCGCGACGGCGCAGGTGAGGCAGGCGCGAGGCGCGCTTCGGGCAGGGCAGGAAAAATTTCGTGGTGGGCCCTAAAAAAACGTTCCCACGAGGGAACCTGCTCTGATACCATGTTAGAATAGTGAACGAATGAATGACTGAACTAGCAAGCAGGTGGGTACAAGTAGGAAACCTAAAAGTGTTGTACCCTATATGAACTACCTCACTACAGCCTAGATAGACTGTAGCATATAAGTTTGACAATCTCCCGTCTAATCAAGTCGGGAAAAGATCATACTGGGGCCGAACAGTGCCAGAGGTGTGATCAAAGTAGGGCCGGTAAATCTCGACCGTAGGATTTCAACCCGGAGCTGACCAAACGATTCGGCGAACAAGCCGAACCATGAGTAAAAGAAAATTGCTAAAACAAACCGAATTTTGTGTTCATTATCTTTATTGAGGGTCTTGACCGCCGTCTACCATCACGCGCGCTTCGCCTTCTTCTGGAATTAGAATCCGGCGTGTCAAATCGTGAGTACGTAACAACATAATATATTATGGGTGATACATATCACCTACCCGATCAGAAACCACAGGAAAAAAATATATTACCCATTCGGAAACGGATGCGACTCGGGAGGCATCAACCCTAAATACCATTCGACAACCCGACGATCCGCTAGGTTTTCGGTTGAGCCCCCCTCGTCTGAACCTTCGACAAGACACGGAGAAGGGGTTCCCAGCCGCGGCGAGCATGTCGACGGCAGTTTCAGCGACAGGCGACGGTCACAGCGGCAGCAGGCCTGTGATGGAGTATCGCAATCTGGGTCGCACGGGGCTCAAGGTGTCGGTGTTCAGCTTCGGTTCGTGGGTTACGTTCGGTAACCAGGTACCAATTCATTCCCTTTCCCTCCCACCGCTAACGTGTTTGACGATCAAATGGACGCGCGGCGCGCACGTCGATAGCCGCGCCCCCCCGTCAGCAGCGTGCACCATAGCGGCGGCGAATGACAACGCCCGCCGCTTCGTGCTGCTCCTTCGCGCTGCTGCCGTCTCTCCCTGGTCGCAGCAACATCGCTACTCCACCCAACTGATCCCGCGCTCCATTTGACGCTCCCATCCGTAGATCTGTGCGATCCTGTTTGCACTATTGATCGTGTACATACTCGTCGTTGTCGCCGCCTCCCACCATGGATCCCCTGCTTCACCGTGTTCTCCGGTCAAACTCCGCACACTGGCTGTGTTTAATCGTCAATGCGCCACGCACGCCCCTATGCAGCGCGCCGATCCGCTCGCGATCGCCATCGTCATCCGCGCACAACCCAACCCCCGCCGCCTCCCACGCCGTCCTCGTTCCCACTCCTCCCCTTCCCCTCCGTCTTCCGCCTTCCCCTCATATCCCCACCCTCTCGGCAAACCTTCTCCACGCACGCCTTGATTCCTCCCTCCCCACACAACCCTCCACCCCTCCCTCCGCTCCCCTCCCCTCCCGTCCCGCCCCCACCTCGCTCCCTCCCCCTTCTCCTCCCCCGGTTTCCGCTTCCCCCGTCCCCGCGGTGCCCGCGCAGGTGGACGTGGAGTTAGCGAAGCGGCTGCTGCGGCGGTGCTACGAGGCGGGCGTGAACTTCTTCGACAACGCGGAGGTGTACGCCAACGGCAAGGCGGAGGAGATCTTCGGCCAGGCCGTGCGCGAGCTCGGATGGCGCCGCTCCGAGATCGTCGTCTCCACCAAGATCTTCTGGGGCGGCCAGGTGGGTTAGGAGCGGTGGCAGGTGGTGTGGGGAGATAAAGTGCGGCGGGGGGTTTGGTGCGGGTTTTGGGCTCGGGGTGTTGAGTTGAGCTGGGCTGGCGACGCTCTGACGTCGTCGTCTCCTCCAAGGTTTTATGGGGCGGCCAGGTGGGGAGGGAGTTATAACAGGCTTCCAGGCCACCACGCTTTCATGCTCCCACCCTTCCCCTTCCCAACTCCCAGTCTCTCTCTCTCTTCTCTAACCCTGTCGCGCAACGAGAAGCGCATTGTTAAGGGGAATCGTCGCGATTCCACTCAGAGGACCTCCGCCTTTTCCCCCCTGCACCCCCCTTTCTGCCCCCCGCCCCCCTTGCCACTCCGCCCCCGTCCCCCGCCCGCGTCCCCCGTTTCTTCCCGCGTCCCCCCCATCCCAATTCTTCCCGTCCCCCTCCTCGCAGGGCGTGAACGAGAAGGGGCTGTCGCGGAAGCACATAGTGGAGGGCGTGCGCGCGTCGCTGCGGCGGCTGGGCATGGAGTACGTGGACCTGCTCTACTGCCACCGCCCGGACGCCTCCACTCCCATTGAAGAGACCGTGCGCGCCATGAACCACGTCATTGATAAGGTGGGGGGGAAGGGGGGGGGTGGGGAGGGGAGGGGAGAGGGGATTGGAGAGAGGAAGGGGGAGAGGGGAGGGGGGAGTGGGGAGAGGGTTGGGGTGGGGGGGATGGGAAGAGGGAGAGGGAGAAAGGTTTGGGTGTGGGGGGGGAGAGAACTTGGGGGTAGAAAGGAGGAAGAGAGGAGATTGTGTGCGCCATGAACCACGTCATTCATAAGGTGGGGGGGGAGGAGCGGAGATGTGGGGGGAGAGGGGGAAGGGAAGGGAGGGAAGAGAGGGGGATAGGGGAGGGAAAGAGTGGGGGAGGGTAGAGGCGTTAGGGGAGGCGAGAGGGGAGGAGAGTGGGAAGGCGAATGGGGAGAAGGGAGGACGAGTGTGTGGATTGCCATCTCCGTTCGTTTCTTTTGTCACGCCTAACACCTGCCACCCTCCGCGCACCCACAACAAGCATGCCGTTTTCCCCTCCCTGTGCCAATCGTCTTTGCATCCTTTCCCTCCCCCTCCATCCCCCCCCTTTCTTCGCTTCCTTCCTCCCCCCCCCCTCTCTCTCCCTCCTTTCCCCTCTGACCCGCTACCTTGTCCCCCACTCACGCGCGCAAACGGCGGTGGGCAGGGGTGGGCGTTCTACTGGGGCACGAGTGAGTGGAGCGCGGTGCAGATCACGGAGGCGTGTGAGGTGGCGCGGCGGCTGAACCTCATCGGGCCCGCCATGGAGCAGCCCGAGTACAACCTCATTGCCCGGGAGAAGGTGCGCCGCCACACGGGCCAGGTGGGCCGCGAGAGGGGGAAGGTTCTTCAAGATATGGTGGAAGCTGCGTGATGTAACGTGGGCCAGAGTTGTCAGTAGCCGTTAACCGCATGCTCCCCCTGCTCATATCCTTTCCTCCATCCTCGCTCCTCCCTGCTACCACTTCCACTCTCCCCTCCTCCAACCCCCCTCTGCCCCTCTTTCTCGCTCTCGTTATCTCTCCCTCCCTTGTACTTCCTCTCACTCAGTCTGCACGTTCACAGAAGCACTTAATTTCAGACACACTGGTCGCCACACACACGCCGGCGCCCCAACCCAACCCCCCTCCCACATACACATCCTCGCTCACACCCCTCCACTCTTTCTTCATGTCACATTCTTTCCCCTCCATCCCTCCCCACCCTCCACCACCCGCCCTCTCTCGTCTCCATCCCCTCCTTCCCCACCCTCACCCCCCTCCCACCCGTTTCCCTTGTCGCCCATTCCCACCCTCCCCTTTCCCTCCGTGTGGCAGGTGGAGAAGGAGTTCCTGCCGCTGTACGAGCCGTACGGGCTGGGGCTCACCACGTGGTCGCCGCTGGCGTCGGGTGTGCTGACGGGGAAGTACGCACGCGGCCACATCCCCCCCGACTCCCGCTTCGCCCTCGCCAATTACAAGGTGAGGTCCCTCTCACGTCAAGTCATGTAATGGTTTTTACCTTGAGGCCCCTCATTCCCTCTCACGCCCTCTCACATCATCACTCCCTCTCACGCCTTCTCACGCCCTCACTCCCTCTCACGCCCTCTCACAGTATGTCACCACCACTGCTGTCCCCTGCTGCCTGCTTCACCTCCTGCCCCCCACCTTCACCTCCCTCTTTCCCTCCTGCTGCCCTCCCCCGCTCCCCCCTCCGTTGATCACCATTCCCTTGTCACTCTCTCTTCCCACTCCCTCCCTTTCAGTGCTGCCGCCCCCCCCTATTCCCTGTCCGCCACCCATCCCCGCTTTCCACCCTGCTTTCCCGTCTCCACTCCCCTCCCCTCCCCCCCCCAGCACCTGGCGACGCGCAAGCTGGTGGAGGAGGTGTTGGACAAGGTGGGGGCGCTGCAGGCGGTGGCGGGCGAGCTGCAGTGCACCGTGGCGCAGCTCAGCCTCGCCTGGTGCGCCAAGAACCCCCACGTCTCCTCCGTCATCACCGGCTCCACCAAGGAGTCCCAGGTGCGCGGGGGGGAAGGGGTGGGGAATGGTGGGGGAGGTGGTGGGAGAGTGGGGGGCTGGGGATCGGGACGTGCGGGGAGTGGGGGCAGTAGGGAGCAGTCATCACCGGAAGCACCAACGAGAGCCAGGTGTGTGGTGGGTAGTGGGGTGATGGGGGCGTTGGGTGGGGGGGTTGGGTGGGGCGTTGGGTGGGGGGGTGTGGAGAGGTGTGTGGAAAGCACCATGGAAAGCTAGGTGCGTGGTGAGTGTGGGGGGAGGGGAGAGTGGGGCGTGGGGAGGGGGGTGTTATGGGAGTGGGGAGAGGGGTGTGTGGTCCGGTGCAGGGTCAAAATCGAGAGAGAGAGAGAGAGAGAGAGAGAGAGAGAGAGAGAGAGAGAGAGAGAGAGAGAGGGAGGGAGGGAGGGAGGGAGGGAGGGAGGGAGGGAGGGAGAGAGTGAAGGGAATGCAGGTTCAACATTGTGTGTGTTACTGTGCATGTGCACGTACGCATGCATGCATGGATGGCAGATAGAGGAGAACATGAAGGCATTTGAGGTGATGCCGAAGCTGACCCCCGCAGTCATGGAGCGGATAGATGCCATCATGCGCAACAAGCCCAAGCTGCCCGACTCCTTCCGCTAGACCAGCCCTCACAGCAGCACAGCACAGCAAAGGAGCACTATGAGGGTGCAGGGCCGGTTCAGGCAGGTGAGGGTGACTTCACTTACATACCAGTCGACCCAGAAGTCAAGAGAGCAGGAGGAAGATGAGGGCGCCTGGCAGGTGGACGCAGGGTAGGGTGGAGAGAGTGGGGTGTGGATGAGATGAGAGGGTGCTTGCTCCCATGGAATATATACTAGTTCTAGTGTATAATGGAAGGGGTTGAACAGTGGGGTTCTCTAGCAGTGGTACCTCCAGGGTGTATGCTGAATAGTGGATTGTAGAGCATGCTTGTCTGCCTGTATTAGTGGAGTAGTACAGTGCTGGTCATAGAGTTATGCCGAGGCACACTTGTTTGAGCTTAGTGTGTGCTTAGGTTCTTGTGATGGGGTTGTGTAGAGTTGCAATGAGCAGGGATATGGTTTTGTCTTGCACAAATGGTTTTTAGTGATGACGTTTCAGTAAAACTTCTTCAGGCTTTAGAGTTATCCCCTCCTTTGACCTACTATCACCGTTCTCTCGCTACTCAAGCAACTAGGTTCTTAAGATGGTATCACGACTAGGTGAGTTCCTAGCCTAGCCCCGAATCGCCCCGCCCCTTAGCACGTCGTGCCCCGTCCCCTTAGCAGGCCGCGCCCTGTCCGTTCGCAGGCCTCGCCCCTAGCCTGCCCCGTACTCGTCACGCTCCTTACCTGTCCGCGCCCCACCCTGCCCCTTACCCTCGCGCGCAGCCCGCGCGCCCCACTAGCTCGCACGATCGCACGCGCGCGCAGCCACGCATCCGCAGCAGCACACGCGCACGCAGGTGCACGTGCGCCAGAAGTACGAATAGCAGCCGCGCGCTGCAGCTGCCGTCCGCACGCACGCTCGCCACGCGCACACAGCAGCGTTAACACGCGCAGGCGCAGCCGCACGCGTTGCAGCAGCCGCACGCGCTGCAGAAGCCGCGAGCACGCACGCCACTGCACGCGTGCGAGCAGCAGCCTCCCGCGCACGCAGCAGCCACTGCACGCACGGCTTCAGCAGCAGCTGCACACTCCTCTGCAGCCACTCGCACGCACGCCCTGCAGCAGCCGCAGCCACGCGCGTGCAGCGGCAGCAGCAAGCGCAGCAACTGCCTCCGCATCTGCAGCGAGCGCAGCAGCTGCAGCCCGTGCTACAGAATCCTCTCCTAACCACTCCTATCCGCCCCTACCAGCTCCTCACCACTCCTATCCGCCCCTACCAGCTCCTCACCACTCCTATCCGCCCCTACCAGCTCCTCACCACTCCTATCCGCCCCTACCAGCTCCTCACTACTCCTATCCGCCTCTACCCGCTCCTCACCGCTCCTCACCGCTCCTAACAACTCCTACCCGCCTCTAATCGCTCCTCACCGCTCCTAACCGCTCTCGACCGCACTCCACCGTACCTGAATGCTCCCCACCGCACTCGAACGCATCTACCCACACCTTTCCGCACGTGCAGCACCTTCCTACCGCCTACTACGACTAGCTTTCCACTCACAGCAGCTGGCGGCCGCAGTACCCTCTACTAGCGTGACCTAGGCTCGACCCTCTGCCTTCATTTGTCCCTTGCCTTGCTCGGTTCTGTCAAACATATGTTCATATATGTTATAGTTTGGGTAGGCTTAGTGGGTTACTCACTGTGGGGTACAACCCCTTAGGTTTCTTCCTTGTACCAACTCTCTCGATAGTCGACTACCACTTTAGCCTAGGATTCTAATATGGTATAGAGCATAGGTCCTTAGGACCTACGATTAGGGCCCACCACGCTTGCCTGCCTAGTCTAGTGCCTACGCGCGCCTCGGCTGCCCGCGCGCCCGTTTCGGTCCTTTTTTTTTTCCAAGTGCGCCGCTTCAGCAGCCCGCGCAGCCCGTTTCGGCCCCACCTATGCGCCCCTTCAGCAGCCCGCGCGCAACCGAGTTAGGCCACGCCAGCGCGGCCCGTCGCCCAGCGTAGCCCGTAGCTTCGCGACCAGCCCGCAGCCGCGCACGTGCGGCCCGTAGCCCAGCGCAGCTTGCAGCCGCGCACGCTGCCTGTCGCCACGTGCAGCCCGCAGCTGCAAGCAGCCCGCAGCCCGCGCATTCCGTCGCCGCACGCAGCCTGCGGCCGCGCGCGCTGCCCGTAGCCACGCGCTGCCTGCTGCCGCCTGCCTGCTTGCTGCCTGCCTGCCGCCTGCCTCCCTGCCTGCTTGCTGCCTGCTGCCGCCTGCCTGCAGCCTGCCTGCTGCCTGCCTGTCGCTTGCTGCATGCCTGCCGCCTGCCTACCTGCCTGCTTGCTGCCTGCTGCCGCCTGCCTGCAGCCTGCCTGCTGCCTGCCTGCTGCCTGCCTGCTGCTTGCTGCCTGCTGCCGCCTGCCTGCTTGCTGCCTACTGCCGCCTGCCTGCAGCCTGCCTGCTGTCTGCCTGCTGCCTGCCTGCTGCCTGCCTGCTGCTTGCCTGCCTGCCTGCTTGCCTGCCTGCTTGCCTGCCTGCCTGCTTGCCTGCCTGCCTACTGCCACCTGCCTGCAGCCTGCCTGCTGTCTGCCTGCAACCTGCCTGCTGCCTGCCTGCAGCCTGCCTGCTGCTTGCCTGCCTGCTTTCTGCCTGCTGCCTGCCTGCTGCCGCCTGCCTGCTTGCTGCCTACTGCTGCCTGCCTACCGCCTGCCTGCTGCCTGCCTGCTGCCTGCTGCCTGCTGCCGCCTGCCTGCTGCTTGCTGCCCCTGCCTCCTGCCTCTGCCTCCTGCCTCCTAGCTGGTGCCTGCTGCCTCTTGTCTACTGCCTGCTGCCTCTGCCTGTTGCCTGCTGCCTGCTGCCTCCTGCCTTAAGCCAATATGGCGACGCCTAACGTTCTAGCGTTCGAGCCTGACGGTCGTCCCATCGAGTTCGCTGTGTGGTTAGACGATCTCCAGCTGTTCCTTCTGACTGATGCCAAAGAGGGCGTTTCCCTGTTTGATTACGTCTCTGGCACTGCCGTTACTCCTGCTGCTGATGCTCCTGCTCTAGAACGCTCCCAGTGGCAGACTCGTGATGCTGTTGCACGCCTAGCTATTAGGAACCACCTGCCGATTACTGAGCGAGCGCATTTCAGCCAGCACAGAACTGCTAAGACACTGTACGACGCTGTAGTTGCGCGCTACTCCTCCCCGGCCACTGCAGCCATAGGTCGACTCATGCTACCGTACCTGTTCCCCGATCTTTCCTCGTTCACCACTGCTGAGGACCTAGTTTCTCACCTGCGCGCTACTGACTCTCGCTTTCGTGCCGCCCTTTCAGCCGAGTTCTGCGCCGCAAACCCCCCCCCCCGATGTACTTCACTCTCTATTTCCTCGTCACCCGCCTCCCTGACACTCTTAGCTCTGTCAGGGACCACTTCCTAGCGCTAGACCCCACCACTCTCACTGTCGACGACTTCGAGAAGCACCTCCTCGCAGCAGAGAAGAACATCCTCGCTGTAGGTGCTGCTCGTGGCACTCCTCGCTCTCCCCTCTTTGAGGGATGCTCCCCCTCCCCTCTCACCCCCTCCTACGCCTCCGCAGCTGCTGCTCACGACTACCTTGGTGCTGAGGGGGTCGGAGCTGCTTCCGCTCCTAGTGGGAAGCGTCGCAGCGGCAGGGGCGGCAGGGGTGGCAGGGGCGGTGGGGGTGGCGGTGGAGATGGCGGTGGTGCAGGCGGCGGGGGAGGTGGAGGTGGTGGGGGTGGTCGTGGGGGTGGAGGCGGTGGAGGTGGTGGTGGGGGCGGCGGAGGCACTGGGAGCGGTGGAGGGGGCAGCAGCGACGGTGGGGGAGGAGGGAGCGGTAGTGGCATTGGTGGTCAGGGCCAGCAGCAGCCGCAGCAGCAGCAGCAGCAGCAGCAGCAGCATCAGCGTCAGCGCCAGACCCCCACTTCCCAGCAACTTCTTGACTGGTATGCCGGGCGTGGGGCTTCTGGGGGTCCTGGTCGCTGCCCCTATATCATCCGCACAGGTCCCCGCGCTGGTCGCCAGTGCACAAGTTTTCACACTGAGCAGCGCTGCTTCGCTGGGCTTAGCGACGCCTGGCGCACCAAGTTTCCTGATGCTCCTGAGTTCCCCAACTGGGCAGACTTGCTTAGGCGTGATGTACCTATCTTTGATCTTGACTATGAGGCAATTCTTGCTGCTATGTATGCCTTGTCTGTTAGTGCTGAGGGTGACTGCTACTTGTGTGTGCCGCCGGATCCTGGTATAGCCCCTGGTATAGCCCCTGCAGCACTAGGTGCTTGTGAGTCTGCTCCCCTTGGTACTGCGTCTGCACAGGCTTTGCACACCTTAACACTTGACTCTGGTGCTTCACGCTGTTTCTTTCGCGACAGTACCACAGCCACTCCCCTCCCTGCACCTGTTCCTGTCTCACTGGCTGACCCCTCTGGGGGCCCAGTGCTTGCACGGTCTTCCACTGTGCTTCCGTGTCCGGCGGTCCCGTCTGGTGAGCTGTCTGGTCTCCACCTCCCCTCGTTCTCTACGAACTTGGTGAGTAACGCTGTCCTCCAGGATGCGGGGGTTGACATCTTCACCCCTGGCCGGCAGCGTGTGGCGATTTGCACGTGCTCCCAGACTGGTCGCCACCTGGCCACGTTCGCTCGTGCGCCAGGGTCCAGTCTGTACACCCTCACCACTGCGTCACGCTCCGCCCTTTTGTCTCCCCAGTTGTACGCGTCTGCTCAGGTAGCTACACAGTGTGAGTGTCGCCGGCTGTCGCACGACACTCTCCTGTGGCACCACCGCCTTGGTCACCCCTCCCTGCCTCGCCTTCGTAGCATGCATTCTCGCTTCCTTGTTTCTGGTCTTCCCAGGTCTCTGCCTCCCCTCCCTCCCTCGCCTGCGTCGCCCTGCATTCCTTGCGTCGAGGGGCGGCAGCGCGCCGCTCCTCACTCCTCCTCGTTCCCTCCCACAGAGGCTCCACTACAGACTCTCCACCTGGACGTGTGGGGCCCAGCCCGCGTCCGTGGACAGGGCCACGAGCGGTACTTCCTGCTGGTTGTCG